ATGGTTGTGTAGTTTATGGTTATGGTTATGGGGCTGATGGTTGTGTAATAACATTTTTTGGGGCTGATGTTATGCATCATTGTTATCTGAACTTATTCTTTGGGAAATATCTAGGTATCATGTATATAGTGCTGTTAGTTTATCAATAGAGAGGTAAAAATCTGATTGTTCATCTGCAATAGTATATTATTTCCAAGTACAAGCGACAGACCATGCATGGATAGCAATCTTCTTTTTGCCTATGTAGTGACTTGAAAGAAATGAATATAATGCAAAGGGGGCGTTTGTGAACTTTGATTGGTTTCACCTGTTTAGATGGTCTTCACTTTCACATTGTGAGGCAAATAGTTCATTCTCTTTGCACAGTTTAATCCTACAGAAGCATCGTTTCCTTCATGATTTATGAAGCATAAACTCCTAAAATCAAAGAGGGCTAGTACCTCCTGTATTCACACCTCGTACAATAAGTTGCTTTCTGTGTTTTAATATATAAACAACCAAAAGCATAAAGATTAAACAATAATTACTGTGGGAGTCCAATTTAATTGTTCAATAAGTTGAGCTATTTAAAGAAGAAGAAAGAAAATAAAAAAAAACTGTTTTAGAGAGCTCTTTAGTTGAGCTTATGCAGTGTTGTATTTGTATAGAATTGACTGTGATTTCTAACTTCTTGCTGTGTTGTAATATGTGGCCCAAATTATATGAGGTTCTTAATGAATTGTAATTTTTGTCTTAATAATCTAAGTCTCATTACTTGTTCTTTATATTTTACTCCTCCCCTTACCTACTTCTTTACTCTTTTATGACAGATAAATGCTATTCATACTAGCTTTTGGAAGATATCTATGGTTATGGTTGAAGAATGTTGAAGACAAAATTGCCTTTTACTGATGGAGTGGTTTATTTAGATGTTCTTCAATTTCTTAAACTGTGATTGCTTTTGTAAATGTACCTTATGTACAAGTGATATTTTGGACAAATGTTATTTTGTAGGCATTAGTTGGGTAATGTACACTTGAATTTGGCATTTGAGAATGCTATATTATTACATGTAATCTAATGCAAATACTTTTGGTTATCAATCGTTCATGTTTATTTGTATGGTTTGTTTTAAAATCAATGATTTAGCAATGATTACAGGCCAAATTATGACTATTAAGCTATTGAGAAATTATCTAATGACAAAAAAAAAGTTGTCACAAAATAGAAAATAAAAACTCCTTGTCACAACAGAGACTGTCACTAAATCTAAGCTACATTTGTGACGACAATTGTTGTCAGTAAAATAGTTATATACAATGGCTTTCGGTGCTTTTTAGTGACGACCTTAAGTAGAGCATTTTTGACAAAAGGTCAATTCGTCAATAAAACACTTCCGGATTATTGTCACTAATGACAACTATTTAGTGACGACATTTCAGGTCGTCACTAAATAGTTGTCATTAGTGACGACAATCCGGAAGTGTTTTATTGACGACTTGATCTTTTGTCAAAAATGCTCTACTTAAAGTCGTCACTAATGACAACTATTTAGTGACGACATTTTAGGTCGTCACTGTTTACTTTTACCGACGGGGATTTAGTGACGACTTTGTGACGATCAAAAAGTCGTCAATAAAAGGTATTTGTGACGATATTTGTATGTTCTGTGATGACTTTGTGTTGTCACTGATGAACAATTTTCTTGTAGTGCTAAGTGGTGCTCTACTGGACTAGTTACTTTACTTGAAAGTTGACGGAGTGTCAACTACTACTTGATCAAGCTCTGGTGAAGCAACGGGAATTTGGCTCCTGAGAGCCATTCGTATCCTTATACTTTGAAATGATTATTACTTATCGGGTTATTGTTTCTTTCTAAAAACTTTACACTCGCTCATTTTGATATTTGCAACTTAAAGTGTTATTACTCACTTTTATGAACTCTTATGCTCGCTACTTTATTACTTTGATACTTGCACATTTAAATAAGGGTCAACTTGCTATTTGGAATCTCACTGAGCTTTAGCTCACTCTATTCCGTTAAATTTGTTTTCCTTACAAGAGGTACGAGCGAGGGCGTGAGACTGATACAGGTTAGCATAGTCTAGTTTTTAAACTTTTGTGATTGTACTCGCGCTAGTTCTCTATTAGGATTGAATGTATTTAGAACTTAAATCTTTTGTTATATTTGGAATTGTATGAATGTTTGGAATAGAAAAGAATGTACATGTACATTCGAAATTTAGGAACTGTTATTCCATTTACTCTTGAGGTTGGGAACTATTTTATTTGAAGTGAGTGAGTGAGTCCTAGCGAGAGTTGGGCAGGCGGTCCGCTAAACCATGGGGTACGCCTTAGGGGAAAGTAGAGTCGTCACATTTGTTATATTTGGGGATGGATGAATATTTGAGATAGACATGAGTATAAATGTACATTCTAAATTTGGAAAATATTGTTTCGTTTACTTTTGAAGTTATAATTTGTTTTCTTGGAGATGAGAGTGAGTGAGTCCTAACGAGAGTTGGACAGGCGGTCCGCTAAACCCTGGGGTACACCCTAGAGAGAGGTGGGGTTGTTACAGGGGACATGAATGATATAGTATCTAATGGAGAGAAATGGGGTGGTAGGGATAGAGCAGACAACAATTTTAAAAACTTCAGAGACTTCATTAATGATATTGAACTAGTGGATATAGGCTATGAGGGGAAACCTTGGACTTGGTGTAATAGGTGGGATCCTGGGGGGAAATTAGAGAAATATTAGATAGAGTGTTAGGATCTGAGAGCTGGTTCAGTAGCTACAAGAATGCTAGGTGCAGTCATTTAGAGAAAGAAGCTTCTGATCACTATATGTTACTTTTGGACACAAAACCTGGTGGGAAGAGGTGGAAAAAGAGATTTGTGTTTGACAAGAACTGGCATCAGCACAAGGAAGTGGGAAATTTAGTGAAATCCGCATGGAGCACAACTTGTAAAGGGTCCGGATTCTTCAGGATATGGAACAAAATCAGATAGTGCAGAATGGCCTTATTGAGATCGAATAAGCAGAATGGGTATAATTTTAGAAGAATCATAATGCAGATCAAAAAAGAGATTAAGGATATAAGGGACAGCAATATGAGTGGGAAAGGGGTTAAATTGGTAGCATTGAAGAAAAGACTGGCTGAAGCCTATAAAGAAGAAGAGGTATATTGGAGTCAAAAAGTAAGCCAAAAATGGCTAGAGGAAGAAGACAAGAATACCAACTATTTTCATGCATGTGTGGCTGGCAGGAGGAAAATGAATAGGATTGGTCTCATAAAGAAAAGAGATGGGGGACTGGTCTAAAGATGACGAGGAAACTGGTGCTGAGATAATCCAATACTTCAAAGACATTTTTACTTCTGAAGAATCTCAGGGGTTAGATGACATCTTAAACGAGATCCCAGAGTCTATAACTAGGATGATGAATAAGCAGCTTACCTTATCAGTGACTCAGCAGGAAGTTTACAGAGCTATTTTTTCTATGTATTCAAGCAAGTCACCTGGACCCGATGGTATGACCCCTATCTTTTTTCAAAAATTTTGGTCTATTATTAAATGAATCTGATCAATGCTGTTCAGAGTTTCTTTCATTTTGGCAACTTATTAAAAGCTATTAATGAGGCTTTGATCTGCCTGATCCCCAAAGTTGATTCCCTTGTTAATATTACACAATTCAGGCCTATAAGTCTATGTAATGTTCTGCACAAAGTCATATAAAAAATCCTTGTCAATAGGTTTAAAAGAGTTATTAATTGCTGCATCAGTCCCAATCAGTCTGGTTTTGTTCCTGGCAGACAAATTTTGGATAATGTTCTTGTTGCTCATGAATGCATTCATTTCCTTAATAATAAAAGATCTGGTAAGGAGGGATACTTGGCTATCAAATTAGATATGTCCAAAGCATATGACAGGGTGGAATGGATTTTTCTAGGAAAACTTATGTTGAGAATGGGGTTTTGTCAGCAATAGGTAGGGTGGATCATGGAATGTGTATCTAGTGTTTCTTATTCAGTAAGTGTTAATAGGGAGAATAAGGGGTTTATCAAACCAACTAGGGGACTAAGACAGGGAAATCCTTTGTCTCCCTTCTTATTTCTTATTTGTACAGAAGGTTTCTCAGCATTGCTTAATCAGGCAGTGAGACAAGAAAAATTGACAGACCTACAACTGTCTGGTGGTGGTCCTAGACTATTTCATCTCTTTTTTTTAGATGATTCACTAATCTTCTGTAAGGCAAAGGAAAAGGAGGCAGTGCAGTTGATGGAGGTGCTGAGGAAATATGGTGATGCTTCAGGACAGCTAATCAATACTGAGAAATCCTCAGTGTTCTTCAATAAGACTATTCAAGAAGGGGAGAGATTGAAAGTGCTAGAGAAATTGAGAGGGATGAAGGTAGTAAAACAAAGCAGGTACCTGGTTTACCATTGGTGATTGGAAGATAAAAAACACAGGTATTTGATTTTGTTAAGGAAAAGGTGATTAGTAGAATATCAGGATGGAGAGGAAAGATGCTAAGCATGGCAAGGAAAGAAGTGTTATTAAAATCTATGGTCATGGCTCTCCCTGCATATGTGATGTCATGCTGCAAACTTCCAAAGGAGTTATGTAAGTGTATTGGAAGAGAAATGGCAAAGTTCTGGTAGGGAAGTAAAGGAGAGGAAAGGACGATGCATAGGAAGGGAGAAGTTGTCTGAAGTAAAACAGAATGGGGGCATAGGCTTTAGAGATTTATCAAACTTCAATCAAGCACTTCTAGCTAAGCAGCTATGGAGGATACTTACAAGGCCAAATTTATTGGTACGTAAGATCCTTAAAGCCAGATATTTCAAAGGCACTTCAATCTTTAAAATGAAAAGGAGAAGCATTGATTCTTGGTTCTGGAGAAGCATTTTGAGTGCGAGGCCTTAATTGGAGGAAGGGGTAAGAAAGAGGGTGGGAGATGGCAAAACAATAGATATCTGGAATGATAGATGGGTCCCAAGGGTGGCAGGAGGGAAGATGAGTACACAAAGAGACCCAGAACTGGGACTGTGTAAAGTTAGTGAACTGATTAAAGATGGCAATTGGAATGATGAGCTACTGAAAAAAGCGTTTCTTGAGGAGGATAGGGAGAGTATTATGAAGACCCCTTTAAGTCTTCAAGAAACAAAAGATAGACTATTCTGGGCACATTCTGCCTCTGGGGAATACACAGTTAAGTCTGGATATAAATCTGCAAAGGGAAGTAAGGCAGGGGGGAATAAGGGGGGAAACAATGAGGAATCAGGAAGTAGAAGTGAGGTCAATGCTAAAGGTTGGAAAGTATTATGAAATCTAAAGATGAAGCATAAACTAAAACATTTTATCTGGAAGTGTATGAAGGGCATCCCACCAGTCAATGAAGGAATCAAGGCTAGAAGCATGAAAGGCAATCCATTATGTAAATGTTGTGGTATATACTCAGAATCCATAGAACATATGCTGTTTCTATGCAGTCATGCAGAGGCAATTTGGAAAGTAGCACTAATACAATAGGACGGGTTGGAAAACTTGAGAGGAAAAATTTTGGCTTTGGTGGTATGAGTTGGTGGAAGCAACTGCAAGGGAGAAGGGGGAAGAGCATATTACATTCACAGTCAACCTGTTATGGCAAATTTGGAAGGCAAGGAATGAGATAAATTTCAATGGGAAGGGTAGATGTCCACTAACAGTGGTGAATAGAGCACTGACTGAATGGATGGAATACCAAAAAATATAGGAAAAAGAAAAGGAGGAAGAGGTGGAGCTACAATAGATGGAAGGGAAACCAGAAAGATGGTATGCACCCGACAAAGGATGGATTAAGCTAAATACAGATGCAACACTGAACCAACAGATAAAAAAGAGCAAGTTGGGGAATTGTTGCTAGAGATTGGAAAGGAAAGCTGGTTGCTGCATAGGCATGTCCCTCCTTCATGTGCGCTGCACCAAAACTTGAGGAAGCACTGGCAATCAGAACTGTAATGGTTAAAGCTGCACTAGAAGGATGAGAGAGAATTATCATAGAGTCTGACTGCAAGGTTGTAATAGACAAGATAGAGAAACACATGGAGAATGTGGTTATTTTCACAGTTCTGCAGGATATAAAGCTGTTAAAATATAATTTTGAGGAATGTTGTTTCTCCTTTGTTAGAAGGGAGATCAACTCTGTTAGCCACAAGTTAGAAAGATTTGCTCTAAACTTAAGAGTCGTTGCTGATTGGAAAGTTAGTTTTCCAGTTTGGTTGCTTGAGAGTGTTCAAGCAGATGTTGAGGAGCAGTTGCTCCAGGTTATGTAATTTGATGATTGTTAATGAAATGTTGCTGTTTTGACAAAAAAAAAAAAAAAGACTAAAGCATGGTGTGTTTCATCCATTTCATATAGATTCTGGTCACAAATTTTCATAGTTTATTTTCTGCTAAATTCTTGAATAGGTAGTTTCTTTGATTAGTGGTTTTGGCCATTATTCACCAAAATCTATTCTTTGATTGCCTGGAAGCAATTTATAGATGTAAATGTAGACTTTGTTTTGCATTCCCATTATTTGGGACGTCACAATTTGTTCCACTAAAACCCTAGAGATCGGCATTGAACTCTTCATCTGAACCTTAGATATCTCGTTAGTCTTTATCTTTGCAAATTACAGCCACCTTCTATTTTAACTAATTCTAAGTTATATTTTACTCTTTGATTTTTATAGGAAAACTTTTCCAATAACTTAAAAATATTACAATTTGACATGACAATTTATTATTTCAAAATTAAATAATTTTTTGAAAATACATCAACACTTCAAGATGCAATTAATGTAATGTATACTTATTATACGTGTAGGTTAAAATCTAGTTCTAAATTATATTATACTTTCTTTCTTCCACACTTCTACTTTCTCATGAGGGTGATACCAATATCTTTTTGGGCATTAATATCTAGGGAAAGTTGTTTGCACTATCATATGAGATCACCATATACACTATAATCATAGAAATTAGATAAGATATTTTAATAATTATATTGAATCTAAATAGGAGGTAAGTTTAATTTAACTCTCTTTAACATAGGTATATACACGTTTAAAACAAGACATTCAAGTATGGTATCCAAACATTACAAAGAAAATACATTGTGGGTGAACAGATTTGTAACAGCATCCAAACAATTTCCTGCCAACTAAGCGAGGCCCAACCAAAATATTCGCTCTTACTTCTTGAATTGGAGATGCAGGCCCATGCACCTAATTGAATCTAAATGTGGTACTATTATTCTGATTTTAGCCTAATATTAGAGCCCATTTAGATTGCATTTGGTGAGAGTTTTTGTAGTCCATGGTTAAACGAAAAAGCCAATAGATGGAAAAACCAAAAGTTGAAAAGAAGACAGAAGATGATTAAAGAAAATGATGGCATCTTGGAATTGATGTAGACTGTACTATGTGTAATGTATATTTGTTCCTTTCTTTCATATATAAACAGGTTATTGACTTGTTACAGTCGCTGCATTTCTTCCTCAATTTTCCCTTCGTTTTTCACTTGAGCTCAAAATTAATCTATTAATGGAATTAGATGTATTGGGTTCAAATTTTCTCACTCCCTCCTTGTTTCATAAGTTCCACCCTTCTCGTGGTGAAAAAAAAAATTTATAAAAAAAGACCTAGTAATAGAAGTCTATAAATTGAAATAAGTTTCTATGAGTCCTTTTTATTGTTAAGAACAACCACAAGGGAAGGGTGGAAAAAGTGAAATAAAAAGTTTAAAACACCCTATCAACATTCTATTTACAATCGTGGCCAAACACCTTCTAAATAAAAAATAACACTTGTCTCGTGATGCGCTCAATAATCCGGACCAAATTCATCTTAGCAACAGCTCATGTGCTTTATGTTGTATCAATTTATCCCCCATCCACAAAATTTCTAGGCCATTTGTGGTGCTGGTGGGGAAGCTGGCGGTTCTGGTGACAATGGTGCCTTGTGCAGAATTGTAGGAACAAGTGCTTTACTAGACAACAACTCCATAACCCTCCTAGAAAGTAAACCGAAGTAAATTTTCATGCTCCATGTTTTACTCGTTTGAATACATGAATACAAATTACACTATTGCTGCTTAGCGAGCTAAAAAGCTAGGTCAATAACATCGAAGATAATCAAACCTCCACCAATTAGCTGCGGACATTCGTGATAAAATTTAGTACTAACTGACCTTAAATCTTTTCTGTTTGATTACTCATCTGTCTTTGTCAGTAACATAATTTGAAATTGCCGTAGACGCTATAAAATCTTCTTAGACCTACATTTTAAACATCAAAATTGCAGGCATATTTGACCTGGTTAACTGTTCTCAACTGGGAATTTTCTCCTTTGCTATGTTTAAAGTTAAAAATTTTGTCTGCTGTTCTCAAAATGTAGTTCTCATTTGCTATGTTTGGGAATTTTCTCAACTGGTAAGGAGACTTCCAAGAACTACACACTTGTACATATTGTGGAAGTTAAGCGGGCCAATAAGCACTACCTTTAAATTGGGAAGTCATCACAAGCCAGCTATTAGATATTGATATTCAAGGAAAATAATTGAATTGACATCCAAGTTTTTCAGTTTGACTAAAATTGTTAGACGCAAACTACATTCTTCCAATTTAACTACTCATCTATATGTATTAGCAACATGTTTGAAGATTTTATGAGGACTAAACTTGCAATGGCCTATACATTTTTCCATCTCATCTTCTTCATATTTCTCATTCCACTCTGTTCTTTGGCTCAAAATAATGGGAGAGTGCCTCTAGGCAGCATCCTAACAGCAAATGAAGCATCCAACCCATGGCTTTCACCTTCTGGCGATTTCGCATTCGGATTCCAACAACTTGAAGATAAGGATCTGTTCTTGCTTTCCATTTGGTATCATAATATACCAGATAAAACTGTTGTCTGGTATGTGAACTCAAGCGATTCAGTTCCACGGGGTTCGACAGTTAAGCTTGATGCTCAAATTGGGCTTGTGCTCCGTGACCCTCAAGGCTTTCAACTCTGGAGTACAAACGCCATATCCAATCAACTAGATCATGGTTTTATGAATGATACCGGAAATTTTGTCCTTAAGGGGAGAGATAACAGTTCGCTGTGGGAAAGCTTTAGCTTTCCAGCTGATACCATATTGCCGTTGCAGGAATTGGAAACTGGCAGTGTTCTTAATTCTAGACATTCAGAAACCAATTTCTCGCAAGGGAGATTTTCTCTCCGATTTCTTGATAATGGAGATCTAGTGCTTACTGCTCGAACTCTGCCAAACACCACTTATGATGATGTTGTATACTACGACAGTCAGACTTCTAAGCCTACAAATACATCCAATTCCGGTTATCGCCTTGTCTTTAATAGAAACGGCATCATTTCAATAGTGACTAGCAACAATCAAACGGAACAAATTGGCTCCCCAACACTTTTTCCTCCGGTTTCAGAAGACTATTTCAGGGCAACACTAGCTTCTGATGGAATACTCGCTTCATATTATCATCCTCGGAATTCTACTGGTAATCAAAACTGGACAGTTCTTTGGTCTAAGCCAGATGATATATGTGACACTGCAGCAGCAGCAACAGGAAGTGGTGCTTGTGGATATAATAGCATTTGCAATCTTGTAAATGGAAGACCAGTTTGCGAGTGTCCAGATGGGTATACATTGCTTGATCCAAATGACAAGTACGGAAGCTGCATGCCAAACTATACTCAGAGCTGTGGCGAAGTTGAGCAGGGAACTGCAGGGGAGTTATATGATTTTGTGGTGATCAATGGCGCAGATTGGCCACGATCTGACTATCAGGTTATGACACCATCGACTGAAGTAGGCTGCAGAGAGGCTTGCTTACATGATTGTTTCTGTGCTGCTGCCATTTTCAGAAACAATACTTGCTATAAGAAGAAGCTTCCTTTGTCCAATGGGTGGAATAGTGGCGTACTTAATCCGGTAGCCTTCCTTAAATACCGAAAAAGTGATGCTCCTCCAGGAATAGAAGGATCAAGTTCAAGACCGAAGGATCGGGAAACTTTGATAGTGGTAGAATCTGTTCTTCTTGGAAGCTCCTTTTTTCTGAATATCTTGTTAATTGTTGCAGCTTGTTCGGGTTTTTATCTCATTTATAAGAAAAATATAGTGAAATCCCATCCAAATGGCGAAACAAACTTGCGCTATTTCACGTACAAGGAGCTTGTAGAAGCTACAAATGGATTCAAGGAAGAGTTGGGAAGGGGATCCTTCGGAATTGTATACAAAGGCGAGCTGCAAATAAGTTCCAAAAGCAGTGCAATTGCAGTGAAGAAGCTAGACAGAGTGGCCCAAGATACAGAGAAGGAATTTCGTGCTGAAGTGAACACAATAGGCCAGACCAATCACAAGAATTTGGTCCGCCTGCTTGGATTCTGTGATGAAGGACAGAATCGTTTATTGGTGTACGAATATATGAGAAATGGCACTCTATCAAGCTTCCTTTTCACTACTCCGAAACCTAGTTGGAAACTGAGAACACAAATTGCCATGGGAATTGCAAGGGGACTCGTATACCTGCACGAAGAATGCAGTATTCAGATTATCCATTGTGACATAAAGCCTCAGAACATACTTCTTGATGACTATTACAATGCTCGAATTTCTGACTTTGGAATGGCAAAGCTTTTGGTCATGAATCAGAGCCGAACACTCACTAATATCCGAGGAACAAAAGGTTATGTTGCTCCTGAATGGTTCAGGAACACCCAAGTTAGTGCAAAAGTTGATGTCTATAGCTTTGGTGTCTTGCTACTTGAAATCATCTGTTGTCGAAGAAGCGTGGAGGATATTGAAAGTGTTGAAGAAGGTTATGCAATCCTAACAGATTGGGTTTGGGATTGCTTCCAAGAAAGGAGGTTAGATACTTTGGTAGAAAATGATTCAGAGGCCTTGAATGACAAGACGATGCTGGAAAGATTTGTTAAGGTTGGCATATGGTGTGTTCAAGAGGATTCATCTATTAGGCCTAAAATGAGGAAAGTAAGCCAGATGCTTGAGGGAATTGTTGAAGTCATGGTTCCTCCTTGTCCATCTCCTTTTGCAAGCTGAGATTATTAATTGGTTTTAGTTGTTTTGGCAGAACCAAAAAGTTAGGCTAATGTTGTAAATTCCATAACCCCTAATCTGAAATCCCTTTTTCAATTTATGATGTTCATTTGCCTTGTGTACGAGGGATTAGTCATAATATATATTTCTATTTCCAAGACAAATCTGCCATGCAATTTTTGTCATGTGCATTAGCTTTTCTGCTGTATATTTTTCTTGGGTTTTCTCTGGAAATCAGGAAATGATGGAAATCAAGAAGCCTCGTTCTTCAATGTTTGTTGAGGAGTTGTCTTCTTAGTGATTACGAGTTACCTAGAAAATTTCAATCTTTCTAATTAAAGATTGCAAATATAAAAGTCAAAGACAACTCTGACAAATTGACTTTAGTAGTCTATTATATTAATTCTACTAGGTTGTATCACTATTGAAGTCCGAAGTCGGATTGCAAAATAAGAAACTCAACCGAATCAAGCAAAATAAGAAACTCAACAATTGATTCAGTCTTTTGAACGATTAAATCCATTTGTTAATTGCTTAAAATACGAATCATTTTTATATTTTTTCTGTACTTCACGTCTAAGACTGCATGAAATTTTATTCCAAAATTTTATATTTTTTCACTTTGTCATTCCAAAATTTTATTCGTCCACTGCATGAAATTGATTTGATGATGGTATGCAATCAAAGGAGATTCTCAAATCATAAAAGTTGCATGCTTGAATCCTTTATCCAGCTCCAAACACATCTATACACAATTTTATTATAAGTATGGGAACTCTCGCTACACGGCCAATGTTATGGGGAGTTTGATAGAAAGTTTGTTTCCGTCGGAAAATATTGTCGTTTTCTATTATCACATTTCCCTATCACCTTTTTCCCTCACATATATCAAATCGTTACAGTAATTTTTCCATAAAAAATGACGGAAAATGCAATCCAAACACAACCTTAGTTTAGTACGTTTAGCCTTAGTCTTTTTTTTTTCTTTTTGATTCCAATCTGACCTTCTGATTTTTAATGAAATGACTTTTAGATTTGTCGATTTTTAAATATTGCTGCTATTAAATTGCAATGAAAAACATGTGAACTTCATCCAATGTAAGTGGAGAGTAATGCATTTAGTTTAATATAGTCTCCTAAAGTAAGCTTTTCGGCATATATATTTTTAAATTTTAACTAAGGGGAAATCATTTACTTGTATGGAAAAGAATATTAGACTTCATAAGTATTCACTTGTATGGAAAGAATATGAGACTTCATAAAGAGTAGTAAAATGAAGACTAATAGATTTAATCATATATTGTCCAAATAAATAAGCGCTCTTTATGGCTCAATGAGTTTTTTTTTTTACCCTTTTGATTATTTGTGTATAAACTAATCAAATGTAAGAGTAAAAGTTATGAATTACATTATTTACTCATACATGTTGCCTTTTACTCCTGTATTTAATTTTTAATAGAGACTCTAATATGGCTCTATTTCTAATGCGTAGTAAGAAAAGCTAAAAAAAATTGTTTAGTATTATATTCTAAAGTAAGTTTCTGGTGCCTTTTAGAAGTACTTAACAGGCCCAATAAGTTGTTTTAACATGTACTATTCAACATTCAAATTATCTAGTGAGACATGCAGCAAAATTATTATGATGAAAAGCGAAAACATTTTCAGTAATGCATGTTAGGCATTTCAACTTTGCTTTAGGCTCCTTTTATATTTATCAAACAACGAGGACAATCTTAGAAGCCGATTGATTAGATGAACTTAAGATAAATGAACTTTATGTGAACAATTCAACTATTTAGACAGTTGACCTTTACATGGATATATAAAGTATAAATTTTACCTCTAAAATTTGGGAAAGATATCAAGTTAAAATTACAACTTTTGGTTTATGAATTTGTGCCGTGGGTTCCCGCCATTCCTAATAAACTGCCCTTTCCCTAACTCTTCGCTTAAAAGCCTAAGCCACAATCATTTTTTTTATTCTATGACCCTGCAATAGAAATTATATCTAGTTTTTTTTTTTCAGCAACGATAACATTTTTAGCAGATAAACAGATCTAACTATATTAAAGGGATATTTTGACACATCTTTTAAATTTTTTTCACTATAAATAAGGTTTGAACTCCCGACCTAAAACCCAAAAATAGAATTAATCCCTTTTTGGCTAGGTGGTTATATGCTAGCTTCTTCAATAACTCTCTATTTCACTCTTTTTCCTAGCTCTTTCCTTTCACTGTTACTTTCTTTCCTAACCCCTGACAGAGCATTTCAAGAAACAGACGTGCACAGGCTACGTGTAAGGCTTTAGTTTTTTTTTTTTTTACGTGTAAGGCTTTAGTAAGACTTAGCCAGATGTAAACAAAGCAAAGAAAAGATTCGTGGTTGATACCAGTTTATACCGAAGTTGGACTGTTTCCTGTAATTGACAAATACTGCTCATCGGGATTTTTGATTGGACAGAAGACTTGTTGGTCAAAGTCAAAATGCGATAAATAGAAGGAAATGAGATCGGAAATGACTTTACTGTAGAATAGGTTCAATGTTTTCGTGAGCAGTAAGCAGAAGACCTTCCCATATTTTGAGAGGATGGTGACCGCGTGTGAATTCTTTCAAGGCAAGGGGGGCCCTGATTTGATATTCTTTTTTTACTCTGATTTGGTCAAGGTGGTTTTCGTTTACCGTAGATGGTAAATTTCTATGACTGAGTCTTTCTTGTCCTTGTGAACATCATTTTTTAATGTACTAGGAGGAAAACACCGCGCCCAGTACGGTGCGGTGTAATTGTTAGGCTCGATAAAAAATATTCAATTATTTAAATTTAAATATTAAGTATGAAAAGTTATATAAAGGTACAGTAATATCTTTGTAATTTTGTATTTTATTAAGCAGTGAAAAAAAGTAATTTGTTAAGAAAATGCAAGACAATATAATAAGAAGATTACTGAGATCATTATGATGTTTCTTGTTTATACATACAATGTAAGATGTTCCTTGTTTCTGCATAAAGTGTGAGATGTAACATGTTTTTGCATACAATGAAAATAAAACAAACAAAAAAGACAGACATAATCGAGGCGGAGCAAAGTCTTCTGAACGAGATCTAAAATTGATACAAAGTTTAGACCAAACATAGTTCAGCCTCTGCCACAAAAGTTGCCAAGGGATAGCCACACACAGATGTACATAATTTGTAGATATAGCAATAATCCTTTCAAAAAGTTCTAAGCAATATGTCAAATCTAGAATGGCAAATCAAGAAGGCAAAAAGTATCAAGTTCGAGTTGTACAAAAGTTGAATAGTATGAATTCAGCTTAATCTTGTTTTCTTGGTGGAGTAGCTGTCCATATTTTAAGAGTTATCTCCTTCCACATTAGCTGTATGATCGAACTTTTTAGTGAGTCGAAGGCAAACTTTTGAAGAACCATTGACTTCTCCTGCGGTCATGAATTTTCCTGCAATTTGCTTTTAGGAAAAGACAAATGTGTATTACAAGTTCAATTGAGTGTTCATGTACTTGGAGTTGAGCTCCACAATCTTTGCTTGATGGCTAAGTGACAGAGTCATTTTTTGCGCTACCTATTAACTAGACAGAAGTGGCAATGTCATTAGTTTCAGAATACTATATCACTATGTAGTGCTACCTTGCATCTGCTAATTGTGTTTGCACTAATTTGATATGCACCAGAAACATCTTTGTTTTGAGTCGCTCATGAACAAATTCAAGAGGAAGCTCAACATTCTGTGAGCAAAACTAAAATATGTCAGGTAACAAGTCCTACAGAGAACTTGGACCTTTTAGCAAAACCCCTAGAGAACCTTATCAAGGACAGAAATGCTCCATACCATCCCTACTGTTTCTTGCTGTTGCTTCTCTAAACACTCGTTACATGATTTCTAAATACTATTAGGATGTGGCAATGACAAGGCTCCTGAAACCTTATAGCAAAATGTTATGTTAGCGGCAAAAAAGGTTGACATGGCATGTATGATATTACTAACAAAAAGTTACCTGTTTAATGTCAAAGTAAATCATATCCACTCTCCAAGTGTATCATATTAATTCAAAATTGCAAACTGACATTCACAGGTTCTACTTTGTTGTGTACTTGGGAAGTAATGGAGTAATTTAATCTTAGAAACCTCATTAACTCTGACCACAATCCAATCTATAGCTAATATTCCCCCAACTGCTAGTTGGTAACATTTGCTCAGAGAGCAGAAATTATTGTATATGAGACAAAAATAAAGGGAATGCTGCCACTGCCAAGCAGGCAATGCAGATTTACTTTTATTTAAAAGCTTAATATTGCTCAAAGCAGTAGTTGTTGCAGACACAAGCCTCTCTCACATAGCAATGTCCAATCAATAGGCATTTAATGGAGTACAAAAGCAACAAAATGTTTTGTTAATATGCTAATGCTTTGTAATTTTTAACTTAATTGTTTACCTTAAAAGATAAGCAGCTGAACAGTACATGTATTATATGGCCGGTTAGAATACATCAGCAATTGTAGTTGATTACACATCCATTAAGGCTAGACTTTTTGCATGATATCTGACATAAAAAAAAAATACCGATTCAACAACTACCCCTTTACCTAGTCTTTGAGGCTCAAACTAAACGGCAACTAATAGTCAAATGGCACAATTAATTGCATGAAACTTTGATTTTTACCCAGCTATATTTCAGTTTCATGAACTTATTTTGGTCTACAAGTTTTCTGACGATTTCATATTGGAACAAACATAGCTCACCCAAAACGGAAATTCCTAAGAAGTTCAACTCCCAAAATTTACATCTAAGCATAAAGTAACAAAATATATGCAAAACAAGTTAAAAAAAAAAAAGCTAGCAGGATAAGAAAAGAATGCTAGAAAAACTAACCTCTATGTAGGAGGAGCAACTGACAGCAGAACTGAAGCATAGCTAAAATTCCCAAAACAAAAAGATGCTACAAAAGTTATTGACGTTTAAGATATGAGTTCAAAGTTTTAGAAAAGGTAATAAAATTTGAAAGTTGTTTTAAAAAAAATGTTGACATTGGTACTCTTGAGAACATATAATGTTAGTTCAGACCTCACTGTAAGTTGTTAGTGTTATAGAATCAATAC